TGTCGAGATTGTTGTTTGAGAATATGTGTGACTGGGGATTTTATTAGCATAAAGTGCAAGATATTCCGATATTTTACCACTGGTTGCTAGAGCTTTACATCAGAAAATTGTGTCCTCACACATCTCACCCATCTTATTGTTTGGTGGAGAGAGGTTATAGCCTGATGAGGATGATGAGCACGGTCAGTTATCCACACGCCACTCAAAGTTCACTGTCACAACACCCTCAAACACAAATAACAGAGACAATATGCTGGAAACAAATTGAACTGAGATGTGTTATTTATATATCACATTCACATAACAACATTAAAGTAACTGTAAAACGGGCTACCTCAATGAATCTAATCGCCATTGAAAGCAACCAATATTACAACAAAACTGCTGGCTGCTTTTTCTCACTAATCTGAAGCAGCAGCCATAAACAGAAACAATCCTTTCATTAAAATAATTTGAATATATACACTCTGCAATTGTACATTTTCTTGGCCAAAAAATTAATATGATTTCGCATTTAGTTGCCTTCTAGTAAGCTTCGCAACTTGTTCCGGGCCGCCTCAGACAGACTGAAGCACCTCAACCTTGGCCTCTGCGAAGGAACTGAATCTCGACAAACAGGGGAAGTGAAGCACACAACAATGGCAGTGAGGTTATCGTCGGTTTGAAGGCACAATGCCTGATTAACTAGTTCTTTGGCACACTGCCGTGGATCATCATGTTGCCTTAGCTCATGCCGAACAAGGCAGACTGCTTCCTGATTTGACATAACATCCCATATACCATCGCAACCAATGATCAGGAATTCATCATCCTCCGTTAACATTATTTGTTGAACATCTGGCTCTGCAGTGAGAGGTGATGAAGACCCAATGGGAAGCTTCATATACCAGTCCCCAAGGGCACGGGTGACTGCAAGTTCACCATTAAGGTACCCATACTCGATGGAACCACCTAACTCTTCCACCCTTGTTCTTTCTGGTAAATAAGTAGGCCTATGATCTTGAGACATCTGCAGCGCAACTCCTTTCCTACAAAGAACTGCACGACAATCACCAGCATTTGCCACCAGTAGATGCTTGCCAAGTACAAGGGCAGTCAGTGCTGTTGTTCCACAAGAGGTGGGAATACTGCAATCATTAGCCATGGCGTGGTCAGCAAGTAAATATCATATGTGATCACCTGATCGCACATTAATTGGTGAAGTGTGCATAGGGTATTCTATGAGTGTGGGTTTTGGACATTGGGTGCATCTTCAAATTATGAAGGTCCACAGAGTTACATCATATAAAAAAAAACGAAATGCAGAAAGATTAACTAATTAACTTCAAATAATGTTATTTTGGATCAGGAGTTGGATGGTGAGGATGCAAGACTTGCAGATTACTTTGACGTGATTGCAGGAACCAGTACTGGTGGCCTTGTGACTGCCATGTTAACAGCTCCAGATGAAAATAATCGTCCTATATTTGCTGCTAAAGATATCAAGCCCTTTTATGTCGAAAATTGTCCAAAAATTTTTCCACAGAAAAGGTAATCATGATATGTTTTTTTTGCCTTCTTTTTTTTTCTTTTGGTTGAGTAAATGTAATTCATTGATAAAAAATAGACATGCAATATACCTCAAATGCGTCCCAACGCCACATGGATCCTACTCTTATGTTCTTCTTGCTTCATTTTTTCAAAAATGAAAAAGGCGAAAGTTGTAATGGTAGCTTGAATTGCTGCCATGGCAGGGGCATGTTTGCATCACATAGAAACAGATTGAACTTATTAGCAGGACCCAAGTATGATGGGAAGTATCTTCATCAAGTTGTAAGGGAGAAACTAGGAGAGACTCGATTGCATCAAACCTTAACCAATGTTGTCATTCCTACTTTCGATATCAAGACTTTGCAGCCAACTGTTTTTCTCCACTTATGAGGTTTCACTCTCTCCTCTCTCTCTCTCTCTCACACCACACACACACATTCAGTACCAAGTTGGTTATAACTTGTAAGATACTACTATTTTTTATTTGAGGAGTTGACAAAGTTGGAGAAATATAGTGTCTAAAATAATATTGTATATCAATGCAGGCGAAACAGTACCCCTTTCTGAATGCAAGACTATCAGACATATGCATTAGCACATCTGCAGCTCCACTTATCTTCCTGCCTACCATTTTAATAACAACGATAATGAAGGGAACGTTTGGGAATTCAATCTTATTGATGG